GTTGTGGGTTGATGAAATCCTCTATAAAAGGACCATAAAGATTTAACGCTCATATGGTGTTTGATAAAATGCTCAAATGAGCTAGAATTATGAATATCTTCCTAATTTGTGTTCAATTTTGTTATGTCTCGAAGTAGATGGGCATTGCTAGAATTTCCGGAACGTTGTAGTAACTTAATGAAAAGCTCTTTGAGGTATGTATGGCTAAAACTCCATTTTATTAGAAATTGAGCTCTGTTGGCGTTTACGAAAGTGTGGTAAAATTTGAATTGGTTAATGTATTGATTGTTATTGCGTATTAATTCATTTGCAATTAGCTACACATATACGTGAAGGATGTGCCTCAATGTGAGTAATGTACCATTCTTAATAATTAGAGAAGTATGAAGAATACAATTATGTGTTGAAATGCTTAGGCTATAAGCCAAGATAGAAACTGAGAATTATTCATGCTAGCTATGTGCCCACTTACCTGTACTGCAACTTGAATTACTTTTGTATATGCCTATGATCACAACCTGCAAGATGAATACTGAAATTGGAAAACGATGTGATAATGGTGGCCTTGATTGCCAAGGAATTGATATGATATATATATGAAATAAAGATTCAGATGTTATGACTAATGAGAAAGGAACAACGCCTAGATAGGCGGCCTAGCCGATCGGGTCGTGATCGGACACCATGCCGCAAACATGGTGGTAGTGTGCTAATATTGAATTCCGAATAAGGGAAATGAAATAGTGATTGAGATATATGCCTCCAATGAGGCAACCTAGCCGGTCGGGTCGTGATCGGACTCTGCTCAAGATAGCGGTGGTATTGAGAACAGTGATGAAGATATGAAAGAAATGCCCCAAACTAAGTTTTGGAAATTATATGAAGGATTGAATGAATTGCATATTTGATTTACTCATGTGATTTACTTGTACTTGCTTGATAGTTCTTTCTAGTAAAATGGTGTTTAGTTATACATACTAGTGCTATTTGATGGCACTAACGTCCCTTTTGCCGGGGGCGCTACATTTTCTTTTATGAATGTAGGTGGCTCCATTGCGGATAGTGCCAATCACGCATAGCAGAGTACCTTCTTCTCAAAGTCTTGGTGAGCCCCTTTCTCCTTCAAGGGGTTATATTGTACATCTTCTTATTTTGGACTTTCACTTTTGAGGTATAGCCGGGGCCTTGTTGCCGGCATTGTTATCATGTATTTTGTATCCTTAGAGGCTCCGTAAACGTTTGTGTGGGTTATGTATGGGTATTGGATAGGTCAATGGACCATGTTGTAACCCTGTACTCTTGTTTTCTTCTACACTATAACTTGTATGGAACCTTGGAAGCTTAACCACGTTTTAATTGTTGTGATATAAAATGATCTAAGATGTTGAATGTACTATCTTTCCTAGTTTAAATAAAGGTAAGCATGGCTTCCTTATTCCTATCTAGTTGGGTATATAGCGGTTGATAAGGCTTGCTCAGTTGGGTTCACTCGATTGAGCGCCGGTCGCGCTTCCCGAAGTTGGGGCGTGACATCTGGGTTGGGTCGTGTGAATTGGGTTAGGGGGTCGGGTTTGAGTTGCAATTGGGTTGGGGAATTGAGTCTTGATTTGGGCTCAATTTCAGGCTATAATTGAAATGAAATCTGGCTATCATTTAAATAGCCATTTTTCCCTATTTAAAATTAAAAAAAAAATAGTAAATTGATTTCTAAAAATAAATTAAAAGTACTGAAATGATTGATGACATATAATTATCAATTTAAAAATACGGTACTTCATTTTCATGAATATAAACACAATTAAATCCTAAAAGAGGCTAATATTGCAATTATGCAATTTATCCTTTAAAAATACTAAATACATTTGTAAAAATATGCAAAAATTATATTGGCCACATTTTAACATAAATTTAAAAGTTCAATAAATGAATTACCAAAAATAAAATTTTGGAAATAATTATTGGGTTTTTTATGATAAAATAGGGAAATAAATTGATTTAAAAACCATTAAAAATTAAGGAAAAAATAATAAAATATTTGGGCATTCTTATATATCTGTACATATGCTATTTTGAAGGTATTTTCATATTAAAAATATATAGAAAAAATTTGGGTATCAACAACTGCCCCTCTTTACCCGGAAAGGATGAAAGAATTGTCAAATAAAAATATGATGACCAATTTTGACCGAACGAAATGGTTCAAAGAAGTTAGGCCCCGCCCTGGCCTCTGAGCTGCCTACATATTCCTAATTTTACAGGAATCAGGCCATTTGTAGTTCAGGATCCGTCAGCGGAGTATGCTGATGGAGACTCTCCAAGAACGGACGCAACAACCAATATAGGGTGAGTGGGCGGCTTGCGAGAATGGTTAAGGTTCGATATGGCTGGGGGAACTGGACCGGGCTTCCTCCTACTAGGATGGTCGTTGCTCGCCGGTGTACCTGCAATTAGAAACAATACAAGCGTATACTGCCACTACAAAAAAACCTGGAATTAGCTACGAGCGTTGTAGCTAATCTGTCACTAAAACTCTTGTAGCTAGTAGAATTTCTTGATAATCCATTGCTAATCTGTCGCTAAATGATATTAGCGACGGATTTTTCTGTTTAGCTACAGAATTTTTCCGTCGCTAAAACCTGATTTTTAGTAGTGTGCGCATAAATCTAAACATGATGCAAATTCCCATCGGACCATGAATATTGTCTTTGGACAGTTAGGATGACGTCCTTTAGACCATGACGTTCTGGGCCATGAAGCGTGCAATAAGGATTTGCAGGTCATGAAATGATGCTCTTGGGCTTTGAGGATGGTGCCTCCGAACCATGATGCCTTTGAATAATGATATGCAAAAGATTAAAAGGGGATCCTCGGGTCATGACATGGTGTTCTCGGGCTATGAAAATGATGCCTCTGAACGATGACGCCTTTTGATAATTTGGCGATCTTTCAGCCCATGAGATGCGGTACGTGGCGATCTTTCAGCCCATGCGGATGTAGTATCAGGCGATCTTTCAGCCGTGCGGAGGCGATCTTTCAACCATGCAGATGCAGTATGCGGCGATCTTTCAGCCAGGCGGTTTTGCCCAAAATTCATCCAAATTTGCTGCCTAATAAGAATGGCAAGGGGAAACCAGAAGTTGGAACCCAGTCACAGGAATTTTAGATTATGGGGTTAAATTAGTTTGTTGGGTAGGCAGGTTTAATATGTTTTTGTGAATTTGTAGAAATGTGTTGATCTGAACTTGCTCTTTTATGTGGTTATAGCCATCTATGTGAATGAGAAGTTTGTTTCATTAACTTTTTTTTTTCTTCAGCTTCATATTTCAACTTTTGCATTTGATCTATTAACAAATACCAAGTAAATTGTGCCACCATTTAAACAGTTTTAGAGATGTGTTGATGTTCAGTATTAGTTACTAATATTTTCAATGGTGGAAGATTTTGTCATAATAAAATATAGGTGATTAGATTTCAAATGCCCAATTTTGTCCAAACTCAAGCAAGTTTGGATTAGCAATGAGTGCTTGTCACCTTAGTTAACAACCTTAATAAATTTATACACATGAATTAAAAATGGAATAAAACAATATTACAAGGACCAATTATTATTATGTTTCTACAAAAACTATGTTGATAACATCCACTTATATTGAATTTCATTTCTGACATTCTCATTAGGGGTGGGCATAAAAACCGAAAAACCGAATTCCGAACCGGACCGAATTAATTCGGTATTTCGGTTTCGGTTTTTTTCGGTATTTCGGTCCAATTCGGTATTGCAATTTCGGTATTTCGGTACGGTCTTTGGTATTAAAATTCTGAAATTTCGGTATACCGAAAATCCGATTTTTAAAAGAAATTTTCTTAATTATTGCCCAGCCCATCGCCCCAGCCCCAAACACCCAGCGGCCAGCCCATCGCCCCAGCCCCAAACGCCCAGCCCATCGCCCGCCCCAGCCCCAAACGCCCAAGCCCAAGCCTAAACTCTAAAGGTCATTTGTCCAATTCAGATACAAAAGAGAAAGTGAGAAACCCTGATCTGCTTCTTCTTTCAGATCAGAATCAGATCTAATTCAAATGGACGCTCTCGATTCTGTGTTCGATCCTCTTAGAGATTTCGCCAAAGACACAGTGTTAGGCTCGTCAAAAGATGTCACAAGCCTGATCGTAAAGAATTTACCAAGGTTGCTACTCGTACAGCGATCGGTTTTGTTGTGATGGGATTTGTTGGATTTTTACCAAGGTTGCTAATCGTAAAGAATTTACCAAGGTTCCGAGCTCCGACTCCTCAGTCCTCACTCCTCAGTCCTCACTCCTCACAAATTCCGGGCAAACGAAGATGCTGTTGTTGCGAACTTGCGATAGTTTCAATTTTCAAAGGTATGTTTCTACTTTCTAGCGATGGAAATGAATTTGATGAAGATTTCTAGCGATGTTCTTTAGCGAAGATTAATTTTATATTTGAAACTCATTTTTTTGGATCAAGTGTTTGATTAGGTATAAAGTAGGTTGACATATGAGAATCCTATAAGGTATAGCAGTTAAACAGGGAATGAAGATAGTAGTTTCGTGAAATTTCTTTAGCAGTAAGTGTTGGGCGTTGGCAGTTGTGTATTGATATTGATTGAAGTAACTGATACAGGAAAATGATTAATTTATGTAGCCCGTTGCACAAATTGTAGTAATTGTATCTTACTAGAGCTAACTGGATAGAAACTGTACTAATTTCTGCTGCTGCTGCTCTCTGTTCTTTAGCAATGGACATAGTACTCTAATTAATTTTGGATAGATCATATTAACTGGATAGAAACTGTACTAAGATGATTACAAAAAGATTTTGTTTTCTCTTTCTATTTTGTTAAAATCTTCTTTAGACTTGGTGGAATCTTCAACTTTATTGAGACTGATATATGACTATATGTTAATCGGCGGGCTAATGGACTCAATATTGTGTTACTGCCCATCAACGGCCAAACAAAAATCCTTCCTCAAGACTCAAGTTGAGTAAATTTTCCTGTGAATTGAGAAAACAAACATGGAGAACAAAGAAGAAGATGTAAGATTAGGAGCAAACAAATATTCAGAGAGGCAAGCGATTGGGACGGCAGTGCAGAGTGACAAGGATTATACGGAGCCACCACCAGTGCCACCGTTTGAGGCAGGAGAATTGATGTCTTGGTCATTCTATCGTGCTGGAATTGCTGAGTTCATGGCCACTTTCCTCTTCCTTTACATCACTATCTTAACAGTGATGGGTGTTTCAAAGTCTGAGCCCAAATGCTCCACTGTTGGTATTCAAGGCATTGCTTGGGCTTTTGTGGGCATGATCTTTGCACTTGTCTACTGTACTGCTGGCATTTCTGGAGGACACATAAATCCAGCAGTGACCTTTGGACTGTTCTTGGAAAGGAAACTGTCGTTGACAAGGGAAGTGTTCTATGTGGTGATGCAGTGTCTTGGTGCTAGGGATTCACATGTCCCTCTTTTGGCACCATTGCCTATTGGATTTGCTGTGTTCCTGGTACACTTGGCCACAATTCCAATCACTGGTTTTTCTGCTGCTGCATCTTAGTTCATGCTTGCAGATGCTGTTCAGATGGTTTGGCTGTGTACTGTGTTAAGTCATAAGTGTTAAGTTGTGTAATGTGTTGTGTAGTTGTGTACAGATTCAATTGTGTACTGTGTTAAGTGTTTAGTTCATTAGTTGTGTAATGTACAGTTTTTGCTTGTAAAGAAGTTGTTGTCTTGTTCAGCTTTTGCTTTTCACTTATTCAATTGTGCATGTGCCATCAGATTCAGATCAGCCATGTGCAGTTGTGCACTGTTATATATCGGAAAACAGTGCATCGAAATATTTATTATTTCATTGATTATTCAGTGATTGTTAAACTGAAACCGTACCGAAACCGTACCGAACCAAAATAAGAAATACTGAACCGTACCGAAATATTTCGGTATGGTATTTGGTATACACAATTGATAAACCGAATACAAAAATACCGAACCGAAATTCTTAAATACCGAACTGAAATACCGTACGCCCACCCCTAATTCTCATTTAGAGATTTAATACAAGCCATGATTTTCAATGCAAAAGATGATTAAAATAGTAAATCAGGAAACCTGTAAAAGATAACTGTGTGTGTTCATAGTAACTAAAAAATCGGCATTTGTAACCTTAGAATCGAAGCATGGAGTACAAGTTGCATGTCTTTGCAATATAAGATAAGATTTTCCTATGTTAGAAAAGTATAAGGGTGATACTATTTTTGTTGCTAATTATTAACGGATGACAAAATTAAGCACTAGTCAACAGTCTGGGGTCTATGTAATCCTTTATCAACCAATGAAAACAAGAAAAAATTTATGACAATTGAAAACCCCATATTTCACGATTCGTATATAAGGGAGTCATGGTGGTGATCCAGTTTCTCCTTCTAAGAAATTCTCATTTCCATTAATAGTAAAAAGAAAACAAATGAGTTCGGTAGGGTCAACCAAAGGAGGCAGAGGCAAACCAAGGTCATCAAAATCGACATCAAGATCTTTCAGCCATGCGGAGGTAATCTTTCAGCCATGCAGATGCAGTATGCGGCGATCTTTCAGCCATGCAATGCAGTATGAGGCGCTCTTTCAGCCTATGAGATGCAGATGGAGGTAGAGCTTAACCTCAGAAGGCAGAGTGCTATCCTTATGCAATGTAGAAATGCAAATGGAGACAGCGTTTAGTGTCGGAAGGCAAAATGGTATCCTTATGCAATGCAAAAAATGCAGATGGAGGTAGAGTTTAACCTCGGAAGGTAGAATGGTAGCCTTATGCAATGTAGAAATGCAGATGGAGACAACGTTTAATCTCGGAAGGCAGAATGGTAGCCTTATGCAATGCGAAATGCAGATGGAGACAATGTTTAGTCTCGGAAGGCAAAATGGTATCCTTATGCAATGCAAAAAATGCAGATGGAGGTACAGCTTAACCTCGGAAGGCAGAATGGTAGCCTTATGCAATGCAGAAACGCAGATGGAGACAGCGTGTAGTCTCGGAAGGTAAAATGGCAGCTTTATACGAGAAATAAAATGGTAGATGGTAGTAGAGCTTTCTTAGCTGATAGCAGATTAAGGCATTGTGATTACCGAGGAAATTGTGACATACGAAATATCAATGGTGTGTGCGGATGGGAAATGTTGGTAAGTGGCAACGGTTACGAGAGTTGTATTCCTGAATAATGTTTGTCCCACCGATGTATAGTATGTTTGATGATTTTGTAATCCAAGTGCCTGTATCCAAAGAAAAATTGTGAGTTTTGTAAAGGGAGGTTAGTTTGCATCCCTGGTGGCCTTTGCTTGACCTGCTCGGCTCTAATCTGGTGATACTGTATGTATTATTGGGGTAGCGTAGCTAAACAAAGCTATTTCAGTAATATGCATGATTTTGTAAAAATAGGATATAATAATCTTTTAGATGAACCGACGACTGTGACGTGGTTTGGGACATTGCAACCTCTCTTGCTACGGAATTTTGAGGGTCCCCTTCAAAATTCTGCCCCAGTTTAATGGGTTGATGCTTCTGGCTGTTGCTTGCGACGATTGGCTGAAATTACTTCGGAATTTTTAGGGTCCTCCTCAAAATTCTGCCCCAATTTCCAATTGCGGGGGAAATGAAAATTTTATTGAATTGTGACCAAACCCATAGGGCTGCCTACGTATCCCCTCTTAAACGGGAATCAGGTCAGGCATAGTTCAAATTACATCATATAAGGAAAGGATAAAGATTACACATAGTAACACTTGACTGCATCTTTGGCCAGACTTCTCCGTCCATTTATGCAAGTATAAGGGCTCCTCCTGTCAGAACCCGGTGGACAATGTATGGACCCTTCCAATTGGGAGAGAATTTCCCCTTGGCTTCATCTTGATGCGGAAAAATTTTCTTTAACCCCAGCTGCCCCGGTATGAACTATCTCGGCTTGACTCTTTTGTTGAAGGCTCTGGACATTCTGTTCAGATAGAGTTGACCATGACAGACTGCATTCATTCTCTTTCCGTCTATAAGGGCTAGTTGCTCATAATGACTTTTTACCCATTCTGTATTGTCGAGCTCAGCTTCTTGTATGATCCTTAGGGAAGGAATTTCTACCTCGATGGGAATGACTGCCTCTGTACCACAAACCAGCATATAGGGGGTTGCCCCGGTTGATATGCGGATTGTGGTGCGATACCCTAATAGAGCAAATGATAACTTCTCGTGCCACTGTTTATGCTTCTCTATCATTTTCCTTAATATCTTCTTGATATTCTTATTGACGGCCTCTACAACTCCATTCATCTGCGGACTATAGGCTATGGAATTCTTGTGTTTGATCTTGAAGGTTTCACACATAGCTTTCATCAAGTTACTGTTGAGGTTGGAGCCATTATCTGTGATGATCGACTCTGGAACCCCGAATCGACAAACAATGCGGTCGCAGACAAAGTCTGCCACGACTTTCTTAGTTACTACTCTGTAAGATGCTGCTTCGAGCCATTTGGTGAAATAGTCAATTGCTACTAGGATAAACCTGTGCCCGTTGGAAGCGGTAGGCTCGATTGGTCCAATAACATCCATTCCCCAGGCGGCGAACGGCCATGGCAAGCTTGTTGCATTAAGCTTATTCGGAGATACCTTTATCATGTCTGCATGTATCTGACAGCGGTGGCATTTCCGGACATACTGGATGCAGTCCGTTTCTATAGTCATCCAAAAGTAACTAGCTCTGAGTATCTTCTTTGCTAATACAAAACCATTCATATACGGACCACAGGCCCCAACATGAATTTCTTCTAGTAGCTCGGATGCTTCCTATGTGTCGACACACCTTAATAACCCCAAATCAGGAGTTCTCCTATACAAGATTCCTCCGTTGTGAAAGAAGTTGTTGGACAATCTCCGAAGTGTGCGTTTCTGAGTAGGGTTTGCAAGTTCTAGGTACTCTCCTTTTGCCAAATATTCCTTGATATCATGAAACTAACGTTTTTTGTCCGCTTCTTCTTCAATGTGGGCACAATAAGGTGGCTGATCATGGATATTTACTGGAATGGGGTCAATGAAATTCTTGTCTGGATGTTGTATCATAGACGACAGGGTAGCCAATGCATCGGCGAACTCATTCTGGACTCTGCAAACATGCTGGAACTTTATCCTCGTGAACCTCTTTATTAATTCCTATACATGATGCAAATACGGGAGTATCTTGGAGTTCTTGGTTGCCCATTCTTCTCGCACTTAATGTATAAGCTGGTCTGAATCTCCAATTACTAGCATATCTTGAATGGTCATGTCAATGGCCATTTTGAGCCCTAGGATGTATGCCTCATACTCGGCCATATTATTGGTGCATGGGAACCTGAGTTTGGCGAACACCGGATAATGCTGACTGGTTTTGGATACTAGGACTACTCTTATGCCAACTCCTTTGAAGTTTGTCGCTCCATCGAAAAATATTCTCCAACCATCATAGGATTCTTCAATGTCTTCTCCTATGAATGATACCTCTTTGTCGGGAAAATACATTTTCAGGGGTTCGTATTCTCCATCCACGGGATTCTCCACAAGGTGGTCTGCCAGTGCTTGTCCCTTAACCGCTTTCTGAGTTACGTACACAATGTCAAACTCGCTCAACAGGATCTGCCACTTGGCTAGCTTTCCAGTAGGCATGGGCTTTTGGATGATGTACTTTAAAGGATCCATCCTTGATATGAGATACGTAGTATAGGCACAGAAATAATGCCTTAGCTTCTGAGCTACCCAAGTCAAAGCACAATAGGTGTGCTCTAACAGAGAATACCGGGCCTCGTACGAGGTGAACTTCTTACTGGGGTAATAGATGGCTTACTCTTTCCTTCCCGTTTCATCATGCTACCCCAGAACGCACCCAAAAGCCCCATCAAATACTGCAAGGTAGAGTAATAAGGGTCTATCTAGCTCGAGCGGGACCAAGACTGGTAGTGTTGACAAGTACTCCTTGATTCTATCGAATGCTTTTTGGTAGTCATCGGTCCATTTGGTGGCGGTGTCCTTCTTCAACATCTTAAAGATTGGCTCACAGATAACCGTAGACTGTGTTATGAACCGGCTGATGTAGTTAAGTCTTCCCAAGAAACTCATCACCTCCTTCTTGTTATTTTGTGGTGGTATTTCTTGAATGGCTTTGACTTTTGATGGATCCAGTTCTATTCCTCAGCAACTCACAATAAATCCCAGCAATTTTCTAGCGGGAACCCCAAATGCGCACTTTGCGGGATACAGTTTTAGGTTGTACCTTCACAATCTATTGAAGAACTTCTTCAAATCTTCCATGTGATCAGTGGCCTTCTTGGACTTGATGATGACATCATCTACATATACCTCAATCTCCTTGTGTATCGTATCATGAAAAGTAGTAGTCATGGCCCTCATGTAGGTGGCCTCTACATTCTTCAGGCTGAACGACATCATCTTGTAACAGTACATTCCCCACTGCATAATGAAAGTCATTCTCAACATCTTCTTCATCCATCTAGATCTGATGAGAACCAGCGAAACAATCTACAAATGACTGCAGTTCATGCTTGGCGCAGTTGTCAATCAGGATGTGTATGTTCGGCAAAGGGAAGTCATCTTTCGGACTGGCCCGGTTGAGATCCTGATAGTCGACACAGACTCGGACCTTCCTGTCTTTCTTTGGTACCAGTAAGATGTTGGCTAACCATGTTGGGTATTCTACTACCCTAAGAACCTTAACTTTGACCTGCTTAGTAACTTCTTCCTTGATTTTCAAACTCATATCAGGCTTGAAATTTTTGATCTTTTGCTTTACCGGCGGACA